ATCAGGGCCCAAGGGAAGACAGAGGTGAAGGGCCATTCGCTCACTGCACATTTATTGAGTGCACACTCATGCCAGGCTGTGTGGAGTGATGTGGTGTTTACAGCCAAATGAGCTGGGTTCAAGTCCTAACTCTGCCACTTGCATAAGTTATTTCTTTCTAAAGCCTGGTTTCCTCACAGGTAACCTGATACTAATGAGTCCCTAACCCCAAAGGGCTTTCCTAAGGATTAAATGTAACAAAGTATGAAAGCCTTTGGCAACTTGCCTGGTGGCTGTTACAAGTGGAGACAGAGCCAGGCATTGGTTGACCCAGGGAGTTGGAGCCAAGGGGAGAGAGGACCCCCAACTCCAAGGGCTATGACCTGCCCGTACCCAGAGACCACCTTCTCCACCATCCGTTCCCACAGTCATGCCTGGCCACTATCTCCATGCGGAAGGACCGCACCTCTGAAACCACAAAATCCTACATCCCACTCCCTGGCCACAGCCTCCCATGCTTCCGTGCAGTGGGTGGCTCCGCCATTCCTGTTCTTCCACCTCAAACACACCTGCCCCTCCTCATGCAGCCCCCCTCGAGCGCCCTCTCTCTGCACTCCTTTACCCCACACCCTCGTCTGTGCTGCGCTCCCCCTCTCCCCAGTCTCAGCCGGTCCAACCATCACCCAGGTCCGCGCGTGCAGTTCCTTTGGCCGCATCTGGGCAGTTGGAGAAAAAAACCCAAAATTATCCCACCGCCGAGCCGGTGCCCCTTCAAAGGCAGGGTCGCCTACTTTAGCCGCCACCCTTGGCTTTCCCAGCCCCACCCGCCCAGGTGCCCCTGGAGGGGAGCTGCCGCCGTCTCTCCAGTGAGACAGAAGCCGCGGGACCCACACCCCACCTGCGCCTGGCCCGCCCTTTCCTCCTTCCTCCCTGGAACAATGGAATAGGCGTCTGTCCCCGAGTCTGGGGCTAATCCCACCGCGCTGCCAGTTGCACCATCAGCACCCCGCTTTGTTTCCGTACATTCCGTGGCTGCGGTTAGGAGCCCTCGGCCTGGATTCAAGGCTTGGCGCCCCACTTAGCGTTGTGTAAACCTGGGCGAGGGGACTTGGTCTCGGCTTCCTCCTCGGTGCCAGAAGGATGATAGCAGCCTCTGCGTACTCGAAGTTCTCATCTGACTGGAGGAGGATCGGCGCGTTAATTCCGGAGAAATGCGTTGAAACGCGCAGATCAGCGCTCAAGTGCAAAGGGCAGTTGTCTTTGGAGACAATAGAGGAGTAAAGAGCCAGAGAGGGGCAGAGGTTCAGACAGACCCGGGGTGCGCACTCTGTCTCCAGCGCTTACAAGCTCGGGGAGCTTGGACAAACCCTTTTCTCCTCTCTCCCCCTGTTTTCCCGGTCTGTAAAATGGGGACAAAATAGTGGCCATCTTGGAGCCCAGACTTTCCATGGCTTCATCGCCCTCGTCGTCTTTTCTCTTCTGGCTTACCCGCCCCTTCCCACTTCAGGGCCTTTGCGCTTGCTGCTCCTGGTCATAACTTGTAACCTCATAGAGTCTATTTATTTACTTTTTCTTCCAGAATATAAACATCTATAGGGCAAGGATTTGGGAGTAGGATCTATTTTGTTCGTACTACATTCCCATTGTCTAGAACCACGACAGATTCCTAATAAGTGCTCGGTATTTGTTGAAAGGAGGGAAGAGGACACTAATCCAGAAAAAGAACGTGGCGGGTGGCTGGTAAACAGAATGTGGCATCGCGTACAGGGGACTATATTCAGCCTTAAAAGGTAAGGGAATTCTGACAACATGCTACAACACGGATGCCTTTTACGGGCATTATATGGAGTGGAATCAGCCAGTCACAAATGGACAAATATCCGTGTGATATTTTGGGAAGCACCCAGAGTAGTCAAATTCACACAGACCGAAGGTACATATAATGGTGGTTGCCAGTGGCTGCATGGAGGGGGAAGCTGGGAGTTGGTGTTAATGCATGCAGAGTTTCCCTGGGACAGGATTAAAAAGTTGGGGGGACATATAGGTGATGGTTGTACAATAATGTGAATGTACACAATCCCACTGCACCATACCTAAAAATGGTTAAAAATAGTAGATTTTAAGTATTTATTTAAAAAAAAAAAAAAAACAAAACAGACTTAGCACAGTACCTGGCTATGCGGAACACGCAGTAAACCCAGCTATTGCTTTGTTCTAAGTATCACCCAGTTTTTCCTTTCTCACAAAGCCTTCACCCGGCAAACATCCTTTCCCCCCTTCCCCCCTTCCCCCCCATACCTAAGAGTTGTCTGCACCTGTGGTCTCCAGTCCTGGCCCAGCTCCTGCCCCTTCCCCCCACCAACAAAACCTTTCTCTCCCAAATCCCTAGTTACCTCTTTGTCTCAGAGGCATCTGAGCACCTTGCCACTCCCTGGTTAAAAGTGCTCTCAATCAAGGCAGTGTCTGTGGCTCAGTGGCCCCATATATCCAGGGTGGCAGGTTCAAAGCCGGCCCCATATAATGAGCCAAACTGCAACAAAAAAATAGCCGGGCCTTGAGGCGGGAGCCTGTAGTCCCAGCTACTCGGGAGGCTGAGGCAAGAGAATCACCTAGACCCAGGAGTTGAAGGTTGCTGTGAGCCATGTTACTGAGGGTGATAAAATAAGACTCTGTCTCTACAAAAAAAAAAAAAAAAAAAAAAGTGCTCTCAATCCCAACACCACTCTTTCCTGCTGCCCTTCCAGTCTCTTCAATTGTTCCTTCTAGTCCCTGGGGTAACCTCACCCCTCTAAGCTGTGGGTCTTCTTTGGGGTCTCTTTACTCTATATATACTCCCTCAGGGGATTCCACACACTGGCTTCCAGTGCCATCTGTGCTAGTGATGTCAACTCCCAAACGAAAGGGTTCATTCACCTGGCGGCTATCAAGTCAATAGACACAGCCAAGCTGGTTATAGCAGAGGTGTTTTTATTATTTGGCACAAGTAAGGAGCACACTGGGAATGGTTTCCAAAGCAGTGTGTCCCCAGACAAGGGGGTTGGGCTGGTTTTATAGTCAGAGGGCCATGAGGCCTGATCTGATTGGATCCTGAGATGGGGCAGACACCGCAGAAAGATCTGATTGGACCCTGGGTCCTGCCATGTGGTGTCTGCTTTTAATCCAGTCCCCACTCCTTAGCCTAAGCACTTAGGTTTTTTCCCATAGTTGCACACTTGGTTCATCTGGGCATGCTCAGGTTACATGATCTTCAACCTGCCAGGGTGGAGGGGTCCATGGCAACCGAAAAATAGCTCCCAACTTTGTAGCATAAAAGTCAAGCTAAATTGGTCTGGTGCCATTACAGTGATGCCCCATCACTGTCTCTACCCAGGCAGCCCTCCCCACCTCCAGAGAGTCCCTAGGAAATCTCCTGAAGGGCTCCTCTCTCCCCACCTCACCCACTCTGTTACTTCTTCCCCCGTCCTCTCCCTTCTTGAGTCTCTGAACCCCTCTTTAGGTCTGCGCCCCTCTTCTCTCTAGGTCTGCACCTTTCTATCTGGGTCTCTGTCTCCCTTTCTCTAGGTCTGTGTACCTTCTCTGGGTCTCCATCTCTCACTTCATCTCTTCACCCCATTATCCCTCCTGCCCTGCAGAGCAGGAGTTAGGAGTTGCCAATTCTGGCACCAAACCTCAACTTTCTCACTGCAGCACCCACTCCCTCATCTCTCAGGAGTATGAGTGTCTCAAAGCGAGAAAGCAAGGTGGACAGCACTGCCCAGGGCCAGGTGCCTCCTGCCCATCCTCCAGCCCCATCCCTGCCTCTCCATCTCTTTCTGGTGCTGTCATCTCTCATCTTGGCCTCCCTGTCTTTTTTGCCTGTGTTCCTTTCATCTGTTGGTATCTTTCACTCCTGCCTCCCCCCCTGCCGTCTGCCTCTTCTCTATCTTCTTCCTCCTCTCCCCCTGCATCACTGCTTCCTTCAAAGGGTCATCTCTGTACCTCATTCCATCTTCATCATCATCGCTTTTATTCTAGTTGTGTTCATGAGTGGTGGGGGGGGCCACCTGATTCTTTTTTCCCTCTTCACCATTGTCTCCTTGTGTCTGTTTTGTATTCTCCCTTCACCTTGTTCCCTCTGTTTTTCTCCCTTTCTCTCTGCTTTTCCACACTCATCTCTTCATGCATCTCTGTGTCTCTCTCGCCCTCTGTCTTGTTTTTCCACCTGCCCTCTCTGTTCCCATCACATTTACCTTCCTCCCCTTTCTCCATCCCTCTCCTCAGTTTCTTCTCCCTTTGACACATCTCCTCGTGTCCCTGGATTTCTTAGAATCTTTTCTGTCCACCTTTATATCTTACTTCTCATCCATTTCGCAGTCCCCCCACCCCACCATGGACACCTTTCTTGGACCCTCTGTTCTTTTCCTCTCTCAGACCCTCCCAGCACCTTCCTCTGACCCCCTCCCCCTTCCTCACCCCTGTCGCCAAATTTCCTGAATCCAACCAATCTACCACCACCAACAACTGGGAACCCTCCCCTGCCCACCCTGCCCTGAGGTTCCCCTCCCTGGATTCCTTCCAGATTATAACATCTTCACCAGGCAGGTTCTCGTTAATAATTGTGGCTGCTTCTCTGGCTAGAGGGGGGAGGGAGGGGATGGGATTAAGGAGTCCTGGGATGGGAACTATGCAATAAAATAATGTCAAGAGCAGGGCGGTGGGGGGCAGGGCCAACTGCCTAGATCAGGGATAAAAGGCTTTGACAGCATGACTAGGAAGAGAGACACCACCCCTACTTCCTTCAGTACCAAGACATCAAGGACAGACCTGCTCTCTGCTCAGCATCCTCCCGGCTGCCATCTGAGGAGGCCCTGGGCCACGCCCTCTTGGTCTCCGGCCTCTACCTTTCTATTGTCTCCATGTCTCTTCGAGGCTTGGTCTCTGTGTGAGTGGCTCTCCTTGTCTCTGCCTCTCAGCCCCTGGGACTCTTGCAGGTTCTTTCTAACTTATTCTTTGCATTTGCCAGAACCCAACCCCTAGCTCCCAGAATGTTCCTCCTGCTGACAGCACTTCAAGTCTTGGCTGTAGGTAAGAAGACAGTAGAATATGAGGCAAGGGGGTGGTCCCCTGGTGACTCTGAGGAAAGATGGAAAAGGGTCCTGAGGACCCAGGATGAGCATGGGTGGCCGGGTGAGGAAGAGTATGGAGGAGGGCCGGGCATGGTGGCTCATGCCTATCATCCTAGCCTTCTGGGAGGCCAAGTCGCATAGATTGCCTGAGCTCAGGAGTTCAAGAGCAGCCTGAACAAGAGTGAGACCCAGTCTAAAAATAGCTGGGCATTGTGGCAGGCATCTGTAGTTCCAGCTACTTGGGAGGATGAGGCAAGAGGATTGCTTGAGCCCAGGAGTTTGAGGTTGCTATGACCTGTGATGCTACTGCACTCTATCAAAGGATGACAAAGCAAAACTCTGTCCCAAAAAAAAAAAAAAAAGAAGAGTGTGGAGGGTCATGGCTGAGGAGCAGGTTGGAGGCCTGAGTTCTGGGTTATGGATATCCTAGGAAATAGTGGGACTGGGGAAAGAAGTGGCTACAGGAGGTGGAGAGAGGTGACTAAGGTACTGTGGAGAACCATTAGGTTCTGAGTGGGTCATATCAGAAAGAAGGGCTCCCAGGGCTCTCTCTCCTTGACTATGTTAGGCAGGAAACAATGTGGGGAAGATGGCTTGTCCTAGGGAAGGTGGAGGATGGTGATGAGGTGGTACCATGGCAGCATGGATGTGGTGGGCAGGGTGAGTGGAGGAAAGCTGGTGGATCCTAAGGGCTCACACTGAGTTAATTGGGGGGTTGGGGAAGAGACAGGGAGCTCCTTGGATGTGTTGGGGAAGGGAAAGACAAGTGGAGGTCAAGAGTTGTATACTTATCAAGACCCTGGATGAGGTGACTGGGGACAAAACAATAGATACTCTGGAGTTGCCTTGGGAGAGGTCAGAGAACTGCCGGATTGTGCTGTGGCAATCATGGAGGCAATGTTGGACGTACCTCGCGCTGGGCAGGGCTGAAAGAGATGGGTGGTTTGGGGGTTAGACCAAAAGGAAGGAGACTTGTCAGTTCTGGATGTCCTGTGGAGTTCGGGGGGTGGAGAACATTTATTTGCTCATCTACTTTTCCCACCCCACCCCACCCCACCCCGTCTACTCCTAGGCATGACACAGAGCCAAGAAGATGAGAACAAGATAATTGGTGGCTATACGTGCACCCAGAACTCCCAGCCATGGCAAGCCGCCCTCCTGGCAGGCCCTGGGCGTCGCTTCACCTGTGGAGGGGCCCTACTTTCAAGCCAGTGGGTCATCACTGCTGCTCACTGTGGCCGCCCGTGAGTGACCCCCTCCCCTATTTTTGTGCTAAGTGAGTTCCAGAGTTTAGAGCCCCTGAGCTCAGCCGAGGACCTGGAGTTCTGTGTAAAACCCAACATCACTGCTGGGTCCCAGCTTGGGATCTAGTGAAGAGCCTGGGCATCGCTCAGGATGTGGGGTCCAGCCATGAATATTGAACTAAGTGTGGATTCTGAAATCAGATCTGCAGGTTAGAACCCAGGGGCCAGCTAAGAACATAACATATCACCAGGAGACCCAGCCAGAGGCCAAGATTTACATCTAGCCCAAGGTCAGCCTGTTCCAGATTGGTGACTGACTTAGGCAACAGTCTATGTTTTGAAACTCAGCACACTACCTAGAATCCAGAGCCCAGTCCAGAACCCATAGTCTAGCCACGTGCCCATAACTGCACTCTTAAGTGGGACATACAGCTGTAAGAATAGGGCTTTCCCTATTGTCCATTTCAAATTAAGGTTTATTTGGAGTCTCATCTATAGCTCCTCTTGGAATAGTCTGAAACCCAGACCTCAACTCAATATTTAAATCCCAGAATTCAGACCATAATCTGAAGCTCCATATAAAACCAGAACCCTTCCCAAATTTCAGACCCAAACCTAGAAACCAGACTCCAGTCAAGAAGTTAAAGTCTAGGTTAGACCTCACACCTCAGCCCAGGGTTTGGTCCAGGAAGGCCAGGATGCAAACCAGTCTCTAGAATTCTGGATCCAGGTCACAACCTAGAGCTGCATTCAGAACCTAGAGTCCAACTGAGGTCAAGGGCTCAGAGCAGAGTCTAGAGCCAAGAGCCCAGGCTATCACCTGGGATTCAAGCTGAAGTAGAGCCCAGCCTGGAACCAGAATGCAGACCCCATTGGAGTACAGAGCTCACACCATTTCCCAAATCCAGGTCATAAACCAGAGCTTAGTAAAGAACATGGCCCACAAGAGAACATCTAGGCCATAGGAAAGGGGAGAAGAGGCCAGGAAGTGCTCGGTCTGCAGTTGGAAAGAAGCAGGTTACACTCAGGGCAGAACTCATCTCCAGGTCAGGGAGAGGGGCTCAAGGGTGGGGAGAAGTCTCCTACTCAGACTATGAGCAGCACTACTCTTGGTCCTGTGGGCCAGGACCCTTTGGGTAGCCCTAGGCAAGCACAACCTCAGGAGGTGGGAGGCCACCCAGCAGGTGCTGCGCGTGGCTCGCCAGGTGACATACCCCAACTACGATGCCCGGAAACACAACAACGACCTGATGCTGTTGAAGCTGGAGAAGCCTGCCCGGCTGGGGAGGGCAGTAAAGACTATCCCCATTGCCCAGTCGTGTGCCAGCCCTGGGACCCTCTGCCGTGTGTCAGGTTGGGGGACCACATCCAGTCCTATTGGTGAGGATCCCTGTGTCCTGACAAGAAAGGCCTGGGGTCCAGGCACCCCAGGTCTGAGGGAGGAGGGGCTAGGAGCCTGGACTTCTGGATCTGAAGGAGGAGGGGGGTTGGCATCTGGACCCTTGGGTCTGAGGGAGACAAGTCTGAGGGAGGAAGGGATTAGGGGTCTGGACCCCTGGGTCTGAGGGAGACAGGTCTGAGGGAGAAGAGGGTTGAGGTGTTGATCCCTGAGTCTGAGGAAGGTAGGGCTGACAGCCTGGGTCCCTGGGTCTGTGGGTAGATGGACTGCCATTGTAATCCTTTGGTGCCTCCCCCAGTCAGGTACCCCTCCACTCTGCAGTGTGTGAGCATCTACATTGCCCAGAATCAGACATGTCAGCAGGCCTACCCTGGAGCCATCACTGCTGGCATGGTCTGTGCAGGGGTTCCCCAGGGCGGGAAGGACTCTTGTCAGGTAAGGCCCAGGGTGGAAGCTGGAGGTGGGATAGTTCAGGGCTGGGATTTTGGTACCAGAGGATCTTAGGAACATGAAAGTCAGTATAGGTTCTGAGAAGATGGGGAAACCCCAGGGACTGAAAGAGATATTGACAGCCAGGCTGTCCTGCTTCCTAGCCTTATACTTCTTAAGTAATGAACTTAATACCTTTATTGCTTTATTTTCCTCATCTGTCGAATGGGGATAACACCTGTCAGGATAGGTGGATCTGAATGAGACAGTCCATGGAAAGAGCAGAGGGTGGTATCTGCACGTGAGTGTTGGGGAAACTGATCCAGGGCCTCTAGAATTCTAGAACTCCTAGAGAGAGGCAGACAGTAAAGGGGGGAGAGGCTTGGTGCAGTGCCTGTGCCTCAGTGGCTAGGGTGCCAGCCACATACACCAAGGCTGGTGGGTTCGAACCCAGCCCGGCCTGGCCCTGCCAAACAACAATAACAACTCAAAAAAAAAAAAA